GATAATAAAAATTAATATTTTTAGTATTAATTTATTTACAGAATAAAAAATAATATTTATAATAGTAACATATTTATAATTAATTAACACAACTAAAAGAAAATTAGTATAAAAAAGATAAAGACAAGAAAAAGAAAAAGAAAAAAAAAAAGAAATGATTATATATGATATAAGGGTGTCATTAGTAGAGGGTAGAGGTGTCATTAGTCTTTCCCTAAATAATACGCTTGATTCCGTCAATTCTCCAATTTGAATGTTTTTTTAGTGGTTTGAACCAAATTTACAGCCAAAATACACATGTATTAATTATATTTTGTTTTCATGTTGTAGGCTCATATTTTATAGCTCAATAAAACTGTATTACAATACATTAAGTTTTTAGTTTTCACTTCTCAATGGTACGTGGTCCTTAATTGGCAAAATTCAATAATCTATCAACTTTTATGGAGATAGGTGGTTCTTTTTTGATTCGATATAGGTTTTTTTAAATGTTATATTGCTAAAAAAATTCATTTGGCAGATAGATATTATGTTTTTTTAGTTTAAAGTCGTAATAAACATAAACCGTCTAAACCGGTCAGACTAGACCGACTTTTATGATCCAGTTTGACTGTTTGGTTGTTAACCGCTCGGTTTGGCAAAAAAATTAAGCCGCCATCACGTATTGGGTTGTGGTTTTAAGGGTTAAAACGTCCATACCGGACCATAGGGACTAACCTATAAAAACAATAGCAAATTACACTTTTGGTCCATGTGGTTGCCACCCACTACTAACTATCGTCCATCTTTTAAACTAATTACGGGTTTGGTCATTGTGGTTGTCATATTGTTTCGTTTTTGGTCATTCGGACTAACTTATGTTAAATAAGTCCGTTAATTCATCGGTTTTTTTTTTTGTCTTTTTAGTATTTATTTCGTTTTCAATTAAAATAAAATTAAATAAATTGTATGTATACTAATTATCATTCATTGAAGGGAGCTTGGATTTGCAAAGGGGCGTGCTTTGAGGCTCAACGAAGTCAAAGCCTAATGTCGTTGACAATTGAAGGATTTATAGAGTAATATGTATTGGGCTGTCTCTCTGTATTGGGCTAGCCCAGTTTGTTTTTAGATTGCTTGAAATAAGGCCCATGCCAAGAGTCAGTCGTATGAGTTCCAGATTATTCGGTCTTGAACGCAGAATTAGGATTGTTTTGATTTTCCCTTTTTCACGTCTTTCCGTTGTGTGTACTGGCTATATAATGCCTTTCAGCTCTTGAATAAAATCATCAGAAATTTGGTGAGTTGAATCAATTTTGTTATTACTTGTATTTTACAATATGTGTCTTGTGCTTGGAGGGATCAAGTGAGTTAAATCAAATTGTATCAAAAAAAAAAAAAAAAAGAGATCTAATGAAGAAGAAAATGCACCTTAAAGTGGTTTGGTCTGGTTTTGTTTCCAAGCCCCACCGCCATTCTCTTCCTCTAACGTCCTCCGATCTGGGTTCGGTTTGATTTTGTTTTGATCACACTCCATCGTGAAAAGTTTCGTTGAAATTTGAAAACTCTATTTTAATCCATCACCATGAATACTCGATCCTCCCCGAAATCTACACCGTCAAAACTTGATCTACCATGAAAACCCCACACCGTGAAACCTTTACCTTTCTCCTGCCGTTTTTCTCTTGATCTCGATCTACCATGAAAAATCCACCAAGAGTTCCCCTTTTCTCATGATCCGGAATGAATTCGTATGTGTGCGTGTATGTATAACATCAAAATAATGGTTATAGACTCCATCTGCTCAACCATCACCCTCGATTCGATGAGAGGCAACAATATGAGTTTTGCATTATTTTTAAATCTGGCTTTCGAGTATCTTCAAATATGGGTTTGATTTCGATCACAAATTTAGATTTTGTGGGTGGACAGTCAAAGATCAAGGATAAAGATCGAGATGGTGGTTAAAGTGAAAGGCTTATCGAAGAAGTAGGTCTAAGTAAGAGAAGGTAGAAAAAGAAGATTGAATGATACACATGGCATCATTTAATTGGTGAACTAGAAAAAACAAAAAGACAAAGATATATTAAGATAGATAAATTTAGAGTTAAGGACGAAAATACCCCCTAAAAATAACAAACCTATTTAACAGAAGTTAGTTTAAGGGACCAAAAATGAAACAAAATAACAACCACATTGACCAAAATTGTAATTACTTAGAGAGAGAGAGAGAGAGAGAGAGAAGGGGGGGGGGGGGGGGGGAGGGAGGTGTTTTTGAACATCATGATGGTTATTTGGTAATTTCAAAACTGTAGGGAAGAAAAAAATTATTTTCAACAAACCATAGGGACCAAATTTGTAGTTTAGTGTAGTTTGTTTTGTAATTCTATATCCATTGAACATTTTACATCGCATAGATGGGCCTATTTTATCATAACTAAATTGGGCCGATCATTGGGCATTTCGCAGCGCATTTATGGGCCTATTTTGATAAAATTAAAAATCTTATATTTGTTGTGGTGAAATCTTTAATTGTTCAACAACAAGCTTACACGTCAGATCACTCCTTCGTGCGCGTTAGTGATGGCCAAAAACCGGTCTGGGTCGGGTCTAATCGGTCACAAGCTTTTTCATAACCGGCCATAACTGGTCCCGGCGTAACCGGTCTCGGTCGAAAATGGTAGGACCGGTCAAGGTACTACATAACCGATTATGGGCCACCGGTCCCGGTCCTAACCGGTCCCAACCGGTCCAGACATTAAAAAAATAAGTTTTTTCTAAAAAAAATTAATGATATTTATTTTTAATTCATTATAAAATTTACAATTGGGTCACTCAAATACACTTTAAAAATACGTTTTAATATAATTAAAATTACATTGTCTTATAA